TCCCCTCTGCAGAAACAGAAATACATGTTTAAAAGATGTAAATAATTATACAGACTTGTTTAACTTAGATTTCGTGACAAAAGACAGGCTTTAATTTGTTACCACAAATCACCCCTCCTCCTGCCGAGTCATCACAAATGAAATAGGAAATGTCGGGTTTGCTTCGGGCTCGGGCCTGCAAATCAAGATAATTGGTCGGGCTCGGGCCGGGTTGGGCTTAAATACCAGCAGGCCGGGTCGGGCTGGATTTTTTTGGCCCGATCTTACCTCTACATCAAATCCATGGTATCATTTTAATCACTGTCTGTCATGACATTTATTTTCCACATGATGGCGCAGTAGCACAAATAAAGCCTCATGATGCTTCGGCCCAGGAACGAACCAATTGGATGTAAAGCCTCATTGCTTCATGAGGCTTCATTTTCCCATCACTAGTGGTTGGGCTGGGAGTCCTTTTAAAGGACTAATTACATAACGACCAACAGGTGTGCAGCTGCAGGAGGAGCCCTACAGTGCCACCTGTTGGTCCCAAACCGAATCATGACAATATGTATACATTACAGTAGGCCAGGTCTATATGCTCAAGTTCAGGCTATTACCGTGTTTCATAATGGTTGAAAGTATTCAAAGACAAATCTTTCTTTGATTTACAGCACTTTTTAATAGCCTATAGCAGAGATGGGCAAGCTACGGCCCGCGGGCCGGATCCGACCCGTTGGTCTTTTTAATTCGGCCCGCCAAAGGTTGGTACACAATTAAGGTTCTATGTGAATGATTGCATTCATTTCATTTGGACTTGTAATGAGAGGCATTTCAACGCCAGGTGGCACAGTTACTTGAAGTTGCAGAGCACAGGGAGTCGAGAGAGGTTGAGAGATCGAGGGAGAAAACTTATCTACCACCTGCGGACTTCTGTCAAACGGATATTCCCGAACTCGGTATAAAAAAAAAAAAAAAAAAACGTATGCATTAAACTTTCTACTACTGTATTACATTAACGATTAATTCATAACAACAGAAGTTCTGGAACCCGGAAGCCATACGGAAGTCCGCAGTAGCGCCAACTCAAGCAACTCCCACTCGATACGACGGAATAAGTGTGTCTGCGCGGCTATTTTCTATCATTGGATCCAAAACGGCGACATGCAAGTTTCTCTTTATTGCAGTGAGTTTTACTGAAATTGCGAATATTTTTACGTCCTGTAGATCATGGCATCCAAACGAAGAGGAACAGTAATGGCCGTGGAAAAGAAAGTGAAGTGTATCTGATTAAACGAAGCGGGTTACAAAGTACGAAACATTCAGGAGACGCTTGGAGTCTGAAAGACTCAAATCTACAAGACTGAAAAACGAGGAAGCGATTCTTGCTCAAAAAAATACATGTGATTCATGTGATGCATTTCAGGGTTTTGGGGAGCCAAACCCACAAATTTCTTTTGCCCGCGTGGTTTTGCCATGGTGGTGTCCCTTATTTCCAGATCCGAAAGGTGGCAACCCTACCCTTGGAGGACTAGAAGCTGCACGGCCAAGACATTTGGAAATAAATCATTTCCACTTTATTTAAGTTGTAAATGTAGGTCTGTGTTGCTGATCGTGTTTGCGCCTGCAGACAAGGCCTTGAAGGCCCTGACGGCATGCCACTGTTGTTGTCTGGGCAGTCCTTAATTCATCCATCCATCTATCCATGCATTTTCTTAATCCGCTCATGCTCATGAGGGTCGCGAGTATGCTGGAGCCTATCCCAGCTGTCTTCGGGCAGGAGGCGAAGTACACTCTGAGCTGGTGGCCAGACAATCACACATCCGCGCTCACAATCACACCTGTGTTCCATTAACCTGCCATGCATGTTTTTAGAATGTGGGAAGAAACCAGAGTACTGTACCTGGGGAAAACCAGGAGGCAGACTCACCCAGGAGGTTGCAAAAGACCGTAAAACACCATCCAAAGAACTCCAGACCTCGCCGACCTCAGTTCAAGTCAGTGTTCACGACTCTAGGATACAAAAGACACTGGCCAAAAATGCCATCCATGGGAGACTGCTGTCCAAAAAGAACACAAAGGCTCGTCTCACATTTGCCAACATCTTGATGATCCTTGAGACTTTTGGAAAAACATTCTGTGAACTGACGAATCAAAAATGGAACTTTTTGGATGATCTGCAACCCGTTACATCCGGGTTAAAAACACCACAGCATTTGATTTAAAACAAAGAAAAAAAAAAAAACACATTATGCTAACAGTGAAGCATGGTGGTGCCCGTGTGATGGTCTGTGGCTGATCAGCAACCCCAGGACCAGGACGACTTGCTGTGATTGATGGTTAATGAATTCTGCTGTCTACCAGAAAATCATCAAGGAGAACGTTTCGAAAATCAAAATTAAGGTTTTCGAGTGGTTAAGTCAAAGTCCGGATATGAATCCAATTGAATGCTGTGCTGTGACCTTAAAAGGGCAGTTTATGCTAGAAAACCTTCCAATATGTAGGAGTTGAAGCAATTCTGCGAAGAAGAGTGGGCCAAAATTCCTCCACAGCCATGTGAAAGATTCATCACTTATTAGGGGTGTTCACACGGCACACATTTGCTCCGGCCCTGCACCAATGTATTTAGTTGCGATATATTTTACACTGGAGCAAATTTTGTGGAGCGGTCACACGCACAAAGCTGCTGAGCGTGTTAGCACCGGCGCAGCGTCGGTGCAGCTCCACTTGTGGTCACACGGCAGTTCCTGCAGCGGAGCAAAATGACAGAAAACAAATGAGCTGTCGTGTTGGTTCTTTTTAAAACTTATACACAACTCAAGCAACTACTGTACAGGCACGTCCTTCTCCTTCTCTGTCTCCGTGCCTTCTGCTCGAGAGTGACCGCCCCGAAAACGTAAATCAACGATGACTTCAATGACACTCAGAAAAGCAAAAATGTAATGCACCAAACAGAAATTCAAGAGAGGAAATCACAAAATAAATTCTATGGGGGGCGGTGGGTTGTGAATACACAACAAAGGAACAAACTACACAAACAACTCCGAGACAGTCCAGTCTCCTACAAAAGGAAAGATGACGTTTGGGGACTATTCCACCCCCGTTCTAGTTGAGATGGTATAACCCAAGAGGTGCTTGCTATGTTACCAGCCATGTCTTGTGTTGTTATTAAACAAACACATGACGGAAGTCCGACAGAGCTCGAAAGCAACGCATTCTCACGGTACGTAATCAACTCTTCTCATGCGAGCGAGGCTACTCCCCCCTCGCAAACGAGCATTTGCTCCGGAGCAAATTGTAGCGTTCACACGTACCATTTTACATCGGTGCTGCCCCGCAAACGAGCATTTGCTCTGGAGCAAATTTTTAAACCACCTCCCTGAGGTGGGTCAAATTTGCTCCGGTGTAAGCTGTTTTCCGGGGCTACACCGGAGCAAATTTGCACGTGTGAACGCTCTACTGGCGCAGCGCCGGCGTAGCGCTGGAGCAAATCTTGCCGTGTGAACACCCCTTATTGCTGCCAAGGCACAACCAGATATTAAGTTCACGGGGCAATTACTTTTTCACAGAGGGACAGGTAAGTTTGGATGTTTTATGTGTGTCTCAATAAATTAAATTGTGATATAGAAATGGCATTTTGTATTTCCTTCGGTTGTCTCAGTGTGATACAGTATTAAAATTGGTTTAATGAACTGACATGGTTGTGTGTGATAAGTATGCGAAGAAAACAGAACTTAGGAAGAGGGCAAGTATTCTTTCACGGCATAGTATAGTGTGCAAACCTTTTGAGTTGTTGGTTATTCTATTTATTAAAATTGATGAAAAGCATAAATTTGTGTGATGATCGGTTTGTCAATATTTGAAAAATGAGGCAAGCATCTCAGTTAGAGTTGGGGAGGAGGGCCTTTATCTGATGGTCAACCATGCAGTCTATGAGTTGGTAAAGGTGGCCATGCCCAAAGATGTGCAAGACTCATTGCCAGGTACAGAACACACGAACAACAACTAAAGTTTTTGCTGATGAATGTGACCCAACCAGTTATTAGGTGAAGGGGAAAATGTTTTTTTTTACACAAGGCCAGCGAATTTAGATTTTTTTTTTCATTCATAAAATTCACTATTTAAACATTGTTTTTTATGTTTATTTGATTTGTCTGATATATATATATATAAATATATATATATACTGTATTTGTTTGATTACTTGAACTATTAAGATGGGTAAAAAAATGCAAAAACAAAAAAAGTTTAAGAAGAGAATTGGAGGCACGGTGTTTTACTGGTTAGCACGTCCGCCTCACACTGCAGTGGTGTAAGGTTCGATTCCAGACTCTGACTTTGATGCGTGGAGTTTGCATGCTCTTCCCGTTCCTGTGTAGGTTTTCCTGGGGTATTACGGCTTCATCCCACATTCCAAAACATGCACGGTAAGTTCATTTAACACTCCAAATTGTCCCGAGGTGTGATTGTGAATGGTTGTCTATGTGTGACCTGCAATTGGCTGGCAACCATTTCAGGGAGTACCTCACCGAATGCCCAAGACAGCTGGTATAGGCTCCAGGCTGCGACCCTCGTGAGATATTGGGAAATGGATGGTTGGAGAATTGTTCATGGCACGATACATAAGTGTATGCCCTTACCAAGAGAGGGCAGCATACTCTCACTTCATCCAAAACTGAGCCAACCTATCAGTGGTGCTTTTGAGTTTATTTTTGTACAGAAGAAACAGTTCACACAAAAGGTGGACATGTCTTTAAAAAAAAAGTCACTGTGAGGCAGTCAAGGATCAGGGTTGATTTAAAGGCACTCATTATTCACAACAGGAAGCTCATCCACACAGCAGGAAGTTGCTTGTTGGTGGTCACAAAGAACACGAGCTCAATCAAAACTATTCGTCAAAGTTCCAAAATTAAGGCAAAAACAAGGAGTCCACTCGGGTACGTTAAAAACGTGTACTCGATCAGCTCATCATGTCTCAAATGGCCTATTCAGAAGAAGGCAGACACAAAGCACCAAGTTTGAAACCTAAGCCAAACAGGAAGGAGTGTGATGCAGCTTTATGACACTAGCGTCAACTTAGTGCGAGGAAAGGTTATTTTATTAAACGAAAACGAATGAAATGAAGTTACGTTGAAAACAAAATTGTTTACAAAATAAAGAAAATGCTTTAAAAAAACGAAAACTGGCACTGCATTTTATGTTTTCAAAAACTAATTTCAAACCAACTGTAATTATAGCAGAAATGTATTTTGTTTTCTTTGTCTTTGGCAATAAATGTAATGCATGAGCCTTTGAGGTTTATTTTAAATGTATTGATTTCGGTATTAGCCGGAAGAAGGACTTCAGTCATCTGGGAGTTGAAGTCCTTTGAATGTGTGTTGCACAGAAGCAACACCATCTAGCACAGTGGTTCTTAACCTTGTTGGAGGTACTGAACCCAACCAGTTCAAATGCACATTCATCAAACCCTTCATTAGTGAAAAATAAAAATATGATTTTTTTTTTTACAAATTCAAGACATAAAAAAATACATTTAAAAACAGAAAAAAGTAAATACAATTTCAAGTGCACAAAATGAACCGTGCATGACATACTATCACGGCAGTCACATGTTGACTACTGAGCAAACTAAATTTCCCACAGCACTGATTGGACAAGCAATGTAATGTCACCATCTGCTGCGGGTGTGTAATAACTAATTGGCATGTTGAGTCGGTGTGTCTTAACCTCCATGGCAGAGGCTCCGTCGAACCCCTGGGGTTCGATCGAACCCAGGTTAAGAACCATTGATCTAGCAGCAACCAATAAAGAGTCACAACAAGTGACATCGCTTCAAGGCGACAAGTTTGACTGTTTGACATTTGGCTCGAATGGCTCCCCTGCCCCTCATGTAACTCAGCCAGAAATACAATGCTAGGTAAGTAGTGTTTTCATTTTTTGGCTCATATATGAAAAAAATATACAGAGAGTATAAAAAAAAATGGTACACTGTACAATCGGGTTTTATACTTACTAGGAATTCAAGCCACACGTCATACAAGTTGGCAACCTGGCAAACAAGGCATCCTAGTGATCCATCTAACTTTAGAAGCGGTATTGTGCACTGCAATTAATTGTGATTAAGTCTGTGGACTGTTATACAGTACCTGCACTGTATGCTTTTATAATGTTTTTTTTTGATATTGTTAAACTTTCACTACACAATATTTAACATCGAGTTTTGTTTTTCCTTGCACATAATACACATTTTTAAAAAATAAATGAAAACTAACACTAAAACTAACCAAAACTAAACTACAAGTGTTTTTCAAAAAATAAAAAATAAAACTGAAATAAAACTCCAAAAAAATTATTAACTATAATGACAATTCCCAAACTATAATAACCCTGGTTTGCGGTTGTGGTATCCCTTCCATTGAGTGACATAAAGCAAAGAGTCCACTTTCAACATTACTCACGCCATCGTGACGACACACACACACACACACACACACACACACACACACACACACACACACACACACACACACAAGCGCTCATGGCTGAAGCCAAGCGTGCTGCAGACACTCGGCGGCGGTCGCCCTGCGTTCCGGCTCCATCTCTAACATGCCGGACAGAAAGTCGCTGAACTGAGCGGCCTGGTCGAGAGGCCACTCGTATTTCTCCAAGAGGACCTCGAAGAGAGCCCACGGCTTCAGGCTGGAGATGTGGCGAAGGTCACCTGATGCCCATGTACAGATCATATCAGATATTGTACAAGTACGCCAAGGACTTAAGGGTGGGCTCACCTCGTCTGTTGAAGTATTCTCTGGAGTATTTCCCAGACAAGGCGAATGGCAAAGGGATGGGGCCCAGCAGCTCAATGATGTGAGCAATGTGATCTGAAAATGAATCATCATTACTCTCTGCACTAAGTGTGTGTATGAAGGGCCATAGGGGACAGAATTCAAGATTACCCATCTCACACACAACTGAAATGCTCTCATACACAATACAGCACTGACACACTGTCTCACACACACTCCTGAATCACTCACATAATATTGAAAGACTCACACTCACAGTTCTTTATTTTTGTTTGCTCGCACGCACACATGCACACACATTCAGTAAGATACTCTCATGCCACCGAAGGCTGGTTATTGACCTCCCCCCCAAAATTGAGACCAGTACATTTACTGGGATACTGGTTCCTTAACAATACATATTTATAATATGAATTTGAGCTAGGTACAGGAAGTAACATGATTAAAAATAACTCTGCTGTATTGTAATTTTATAAAATATAATTTATTATTCAGTTAAAAAGTGATTCCCTTGTGTGATCTATGTAGACTAGAGCCACGAAAAAAAAGCAGGGAATGCAATTTCTGGAGAATCTGTGTGTAAAGGCTGAGACGCTGAATTAAAATTTGTGGAACAACTTGAAATGATTTTGAATGATGTGGAAAGATATTGAATTTGAAATTGTTTCAAATCCAAAGAATTGCATAAAACCAAAACAAAAATAAATTCTGGCTTTTATTTTGGAATTTTGAAAAAATGTACGTGTAGGAATAAGATGAACAGTTTCAAGTTGAAGGAGAAAAACCAAATAATAGTACATTTGGAAAAGTTTGTGGGTACGTTAATGGGGAAAATGTCGAATTTTGGGGTAAATGGGAATTTTGGGCTTCAGGAGGGATAAGCTGAACAATTTAATGTTGGAAGGTTTGAATCGGTCAAAATCTGTAACAATTGTAGGAGCAAAAGCAAAAATTATGTAATTTTTTTAGTGGCCATTGTAAAGGCGAAAATGTAGAATTTTTTTAGTTTGTGTACTTTTTGGGTATCAGTAGGGATGAGACGAACAATTTCATGTTGGAATGTTTGGAATTGGTCAAAAAAATTTAGAAGAAAAACTGAAAACGTTTTTCCATCTATGGTAGTTCACCTCACTCATGTCTGCCCAACAGCCTCCAAGTATCTTAACCAAAGCAACAGTGTTACTTCCCAATAAATGGCATCAGCAGAGACCGTCGGAACCTCAAATGGGATGACAATCAGACTGCAGCAGAAGAGTCACGACATGACGATGTCCATCTACACTTATAAGCCGAAATGGCGTTTATTGTTGATTTTGATGCGTGACCGAGGGTGTTTCACTTATGTTAACGAGACTCCCAAATTATATACCTGGCGACCTTTCATGTGTGTGCACATGCGACCGTTACCTTCATCTCTTGTGTAGACTTCTCCAGAATGAGGTTCAAATAAATAATCACCCGTGGCCAACTCAAACGCCTGAAATAGTCCAAACAAACGCAATCACATGACTCGGTGTATGTAGGCATGCTTTTTGCGGTGTGCATGCATGTCTGTACCATGCAGGCAACGCTCCAGATGTCAGCCGGCGGTCCATACTCTGCTCCAATCAGAACCTCCAGGGCACGGTACTGTCTTGTCTGAATGTCCTCAGTGAAATGCTTGTGCTGGGGGCGCGGAAACAGAGAGGGTGGAACGGGCAGTGTGATTGGTTATTTGTTCAGAAAGAGGTTGTGATGCAGTGAATACGTGAGCATAGGAAGAGTCTCACCACCCAGCAGGCGTTTCCCAAATCAGCAATCTTCACTCGCAGTTTGTTGGCATTTTGAGGCTCAAGAGGACTGAGGATGAAGTCTGACGCGCTAACCACTGTGACCACGCACATGCACAAGCGACACAAACTTTGACAAGTCCCATTCCTTTTTTTCAAAACCCGGTTGCTGTAATGTGTGCTGTTCAATTGACCTTTCGCTAAGCCACACCCCAAACACGGACTGGCCAATTGCACTAGAGGAGAACAGAGCTGATGTTGGCTTTTATTTTCGAATTAAAACCAATGCTCTTCCAAAACAAAGAGAGTGCAGAAGGTGGAAATGTCATGGTGGATGCTGAAAGAGGAGCAAGCAGGAGGGGTCTTGGCGAAAGGTCGATTGTCTTCTCGAGTGGGAGTGTGTTCTCACAGTCTTGTCCACCGGAGTAACCTGACTGTGTGGATAGTGTTGATTCTGACGTGGCTGAGTTCACTGAGCTGGAGAACCCCGAGACGACGGACGCGGGGCTGGAAAATCGCCTGGGGCCGTGGCCGTTGCAACTGTACTCCAACAAAGAACAAGAAGAAATTGGGCTCACTTTGTCGTTGGTTGCAGTGCAGGAAGTGTTGCCGTTGACGATAGGCTGGCCTGTGGACGCAAACATTATTTTTATTTAAATCCACAATAATGTCTGTGAGCACGTGTATCTCTGTTTGGAATTATGTAGTACGATGGTGTGTACTCACAGTTAGTGTGTGTGTCATCTTCCTCATCCATTTTCTGAACACAAAGACAAGACAATGTTAGTGATTGCGATTTGATTGTATTTTTGTTTTGTATAAATTGCATTTTTTTCCCATTATTTGGCATCTCCTGTGATTTACACTCAGGTGTGACACCCATACACACACACATAGACATATACTGAATATCTATATATCTAAAAATATCTCTCTCTCTCTCTCTCTCTCTCTCTATATATATATATATGTATATATATATATATATATATATATATAAATACACACACACACACACACACACACAAATACTTTTGCTCACTTGAAAAGTCGGGAGGCTTCAAACAAAAGGTGTGAGTTGTTTAACACATGAAGGCATAAACACCATGAAATAAAAAGCTGGACTTCTGAAGTTTAGTTTCCTTTTCATCTTTTGATCTGAGACCCAAATGTCCTCAGTTTACAAAAGCAACAAACCAATCAACCTTGCGCCCCAAATCCGTTGACCATCATCTTTCAATTTGTTGTCCTCGAAGTCTGCCATGATTTTGTTGCCATTACGCGTGATTGTCGAAATCGTTTACTTTGCCAATTCATAGTCTCTGCTCAGCTTCATCTGGGAGACTCCCTTTCGAAAGTGAGAGACAGTTTCAGCCCTCACAGAGAGTGAGATTTGCTTCCGTTTACCAGACATGTTTTCACACCATGTGCCTTCGGAAGTACAACAACGTACGAATCGATCAGTGACGGAGGGGAAGCACACGCTGTACATTTTGTTCATAAGCAAGTTTGCGGTGGCAGTTAGCTTCCCACGGTTCGTTGTAACGAAGCCATTTTCACTACTTTGTGGGAAAAATCTGGTCGTTATAATGAAGTTTACGTTATTAAGGTGTTTGTTGTAACCAAATTCGGCAAATGGAAAATGAACTACGTGAAATTGAGACTTTGAAATGTGAACCTTATAACGGTGAAAACATAAATGGGGTATGTTGAAAAGAGGTTAAACTAAATGTGGTTCATAATATATAATGTGCAATTCTCTGTTTTCTTCAGTTTCTCAGTAAAATCGGGTGTGGCAGTAAACAGATTAAAGCATGCAATTGCCCTCTTTTTTAGGAAAATTATTCACTATCAATCAATCCAGCGGTCACTTCTCAAAATTCTGCAGGCAAGCAAGCCAAAGCAAAAAATAAATTGACAAAAGGTTCAGCGATCACTTTCAATTGAGGGACCACTGCTGTTTTACTGCTGTCGTGATTTGAAGGAAATACAAATCAAGTAAAATGTATTTATATAACCTTTAATCACAAGAGTGGGCTTCACAAGCCCACAGTTGACAAATATTAATGTTACTCTGCAAGTCTCAGTTTTTTGCTTTGTTTGGGCTATGAAGTTATTTGAAAACTAAGTTGCCTGTAGCATTATCTTAAATTCTTAAAAAGTTCGGGTAACCAAAACGAATGACCATAAAGCAAATGATAATGATGTTCCTCTTGTCTCAACAAAGGACGTCTCACTGCAATGGTTCACTCGAAGAGGAAGAGACACAAAAGGGTGTCTTGTCTTCCTATTCACGCTAATATTTGCAATGTGAAGCTCACAGGAAACTAGAGGTCAAAATGCATGAATTCCCCACAAACCCCCACCGCTCACAAATAAGTCTCCCCGTGACATTATAAAGTTGGCCCATGAACATTTTTCGTTTTGTGCTTTGATAAAAAGATTCCAGAGAAAGCTCCTCAAACCTGCGGCATCAGGCCTGCAGGATAATTTAAAAGTGAAAAAAATGCATAAAGACACAGAATTAATATTTTTAATAAGGTGTAATTCATTGTGTATCCGCAAGGGGACACTGTTTTGATCAGAGAAGAAGACAGCAGCAGCCTCAGTCTGTCACTGAGACAGACCCATGACAGCAGACGCTATCAATAGCACTCTCACATTTACACATTTAATAGCACTCTCCTTAGTTTGTAAGGTGTAGGCAGGGATTACATTTAGATTTTATATGCACGTGTAAATGCTTTAAAACTTGCTTTCTTTATGAATCTTGTTTAATCTTAAAGTGCATTACTATATTTTTCAATACCAATTACTTGTTAAAGTTTGTACAATCAGTGGGATCAGTTGCAATGCATATATGTGAATGATAAAAGTAAATTGCACATTTGTCGAAGGAAATGTAAGGTGCTTCATGAAATGTTTTGTAAAAGATATGTTCATTAAATTTCAACATTTTCCTAATGTTCTTGTGCTTCTTTATACCAAAACAAAGGAAAGACATATTGTTTTGGTTAAAGTATGGTGTCATTTTAATGGTCCGGCCCACTTGACATCTACCGAGGCCGTATTTGGCCCACCATGTAAAATGAGTTTGACACCCCTGCACTACACAAAACAGTTAACATGAAATAAAATGTGTAACACAGCACAACATAAAACACGAACAGTCATGCAATTGTAACCACTCTTACTGCATACTTGCGTGTTTGTTGTGATTTACGCAAATCTGACTTTTTTTTTGTTATTTCTGCATCGTGCGTTCGCCCCTAATCAGGGGCTAATAAAGTAGTTTCGGATTTCGAACGAATCGCTTTTCGAACAGCCTTCTGGAACGGATTATGGTCGAAAACCAAGGTATGACTCTGTGTGTGTGTGTGTGTGTGTGTGTGTGTATATATAT